GCCGGTGGTAGACAGTGTGCAGTGAAACTAAAAGGCGCTCACAGTTTGTGAGAGTTGTTTAGATGGGCGAAACCCGTTTGCCGTTCCTCATGCATGTCCGAGCGAACTGAAGCCCAGATAAAGCCCGAGACCCCTACCCTAAACTGCGATACCTACTGAGTTAAGCTTCCCCTACCAATAGCATAAGTTGAATGTGTGAATGCTCAAGTACAACAGTGGATGCTGAATGAGATAAACCCAGGAGGCCACTTTGGTTCAGGTACCTGCCAAACAGATAACCGAGTTAAACTCGAAGTCTAGTGTTCAGACTATCACTGGATATTTGTCGACATGAAGTTCAAAACGTTCGAATCAAGGGTATTTGGTCTGGTTCGGTAGTAGACTCAAATGGAAAACATCGAGATCAGCCACAAAACTTTTGACCGTACAAGTAAATATATGCGAACTCTGATCATCCGTTTGTCTGCATCAAACTCTCTGCGATCTAAGGTAGGCCCAATAATGTTCAGTCGCTAAGAGTTTATTACAATTTTCTGTCCTAGGCAAATGTGCATTCCAGATGAGAAGCGCATCTGCGCTGAGAATTAACCTCGTCCACTTTACCGGTGGGAAACCCAGAGTGAAAGTGAAATGATCTGTGAGGCGGACAGTTAGCTTCGCGTGAACCAGTATAAGCACAGAGCAGAACAACTCTAAGTATAGTTCAGCTGGCCCTCCACGAACAGCTGCTCAGATTTTTGGGGCATATTTTATCAGGTAGTATGGTTCTACAAAACAGGTGAACAACAGAGTTATTGAACCTGTCAGAAGCAATAAAGCACGAGGAAATAATAACCTTTTCTCAGCTCTATTCAGGGATGATGGAACTAGTTTGTAAAGGGAATCGTAGCAGAGATTTATAATTCCGATAAAAATCCCAACAAATTCGATAGGCTGGAAAGTGAACATGGGGAATTCATATAGAGTGTGATTGCAAGAATAAAGAGTAGATGCACGAGTGCCACTGTTTGCGAGATCCAGCCATATCAATTAGTGTCTCTAATCACCGGTTACCATGATCTCGGGGTCCCCGTTCAGGGTCCCCAAAGCGACTTATGTGACCCAGTGTCCTGGTTAGGGGTTTCATGTACCCATGCCAAGTCTTAGTTTGACCACGATTGACCATTTTCCAACCGCTTCCTGCCTCAGCAAGCATCGCTCGCCGTGGCAACCTTGTTGGTGACATGCGAAATACATTTCCCGACCATCGTAGTCTACAGAGGTCGACCACTTGTTCCACTGGACCAATAGTATGAATGTCGTAAGACTTTCTCCTTCAATACATACAAAACGGATTAAAGTGAATCAAAACTATGAAAGGTGCGAATAGTGTGAAACAAAAGTAATAACCTAACGTTCCTCGTTTTTCATGCTCAGCTTATTTTCTTGCATATTCACGCATTTTCGGTTCCACCGTATATAGTATTGGCTCATTACTTGTTCAGACTGGTCATTGAGTAAAGTGCATAATAAAATTCTGCAATATTTTGATTGAACAAATATACTTGAGTAAATTAAATGAGGTTATTTAATGAACTACTGTCCAGTAACTCAAACCAACCTCAAGTAGGGGAGGGGAGCCCAGGCAGAATCATCAGCAGTTTAATCAGTAATGCGTATAAATTATATTGAAGTCACAACGCCAGTGTGCAAATAGGTTTAGTTATCTACTATAGTTTTAGTCAACCACAAAGTGAACTTTCCACATCGTAGGCGCGATGGTATGAAATCCGAAACGATTATATAAAATAACTGCAATGGGATTGAGTCAGTCACAATGTATCAGGCGGATGAAAATCGGGACAGACTTACTTGATTACGTTTGACTCGACTATTGTCTGATCTTGAGGAATGTTGACCTGTGGAACTATGCGTCGTTTTGGGCCCTGAAACGACTTTCTTTATTCCACGAGCACTGGCAGGCAATGAGCCGCCAGAATGGTGACCACTCTTCCGGACAGATGAGTTACGGATAGGATATCTCAACGGTGCATCATTCAAAAGATAGTTACGTACAACTGGATTTAATGAAATGTAGAAAAAGTATGACCCAAATTAGCATCCTTCATGAAGGAATTTTCGTAATCTTTTTTTCGGTCCATGAATAGTAACAATTAAAAAGAGACGATAGTGCAAATGAGAGAAATATGTGAATATGATAAACTAAACAGTCTCGAAAACACTAGTATTCATCGGAAGCAATCATAATGATTTTGTTCAAACCTCAGAACTTGATGGCGAGCCAGATGACTTCAGTGCCCTGATACATCACTGAGAAAAAATGACGGTACTGCGAGGAAAAATAATACAGTTAGTCCCACCTGAAAAAATATCAGTTGCTGAAAGTAAAACAAAATCAAACTTAATCACAAATCTAGATTACACCGCAAACAATAATCTCATTTGGCTTGCACAAATATCACTCTGTGATAAACTGATTGGTAACCGCGCTCATAGACTACGGTAGGCAGTAGCTCAAATTCTCCAGTAAAGGAACATTCTTCTTGGTCAAGAGGTAGCTAGATACCAGACGAAAAATGTGTTTCTCCACAGAGACTGCTTTTTAGTGAAATAAAACGTGTCATCAAACCCTAGGGGGAAATTTACTGAAATGAATACAATTTGTGAATGATAAGTCAACCATTCATTTCCGTCATTGTCACAGTTGCAAGGCGATTGTGCATCCGTTCGAGAAGCCAGTTTATGGCAAGATAAAATTCCACTCGGAGATCTAATAAAACGCGCGACGGTAGTGGTCACCTGAACACGATATTCACGAGTCAATGAGTCTACATACTTAAACGGCTAAACCATTGGTACATTATTTTATAACACACATTTATGTGGTGAACAGAAGACTGGGTGAACCCCATAGTCACGAAGACCTGCTGCTTCGTCATGGAAACAGGTAACCTAAGCCCTGGGACTTGGTGTGGCGAACCAGCTAAGGCCCCGATAGGTTGCGCATGGTATTGAACCGAACGACAGCAATGCTTCCTACCATCGAAGATGGATGGTGGTGGCGGGGCTCGGACCTCGGACAATGTTTGAAGTCTGTCGCTAACTAACCGAGTTTCGATCGGGTTAAATAATTGACCTATTTAATGAAGCTGGTTAATCTGCGCCATGTAAACCAACATAAGTGTGATAAAAAGAGGTAACTGAAATAGCACATATGGCTTATACTTTATGATTTGATGAAGACGAGTACTGGGAATGAATTATACATGTTCGACCTTTCAACTACTCTCTGCTCGACTGAAATCCATGCTGAAGGCATTCACAGACACTAACCTCAAGGCATGGGACCGCGTACTGCCGCGCTGCTTTTTAGCGTATAATAGAACGATCCAACGATCCACCGGCCAGACACCACACTTCCTGTGAACTGACAGAGAGGTAGGACTTCTGGGCAACAACCGACTACCAACGATCGGATGCCAGTCACTGGTGGTCACAAAGCGCCTATCGAAGATGATCGACTCATTAAGAACGGCGAACCAAACGGCTCGCACCCACCTCGAAACATCGCAGAGATACCAGAAGCATTAGTACGACAAGAAGTGCTTTGGAGACGCATTAAGAGCAGACGACCGAGTATGGTTTCACAAGACACAGACAACTCCGGGAGTACCAGCGAAACTCTATAAAGAATGCCGCGGACTCTTCGTGATAGAAGCAGTACTATCGGAACCAAACTGTGTTATTCGAGAAGTCGGATCTACACAGCCACCCTTCATGGCACATTTCAACCAACTCAAACCACACCTACCACACCATGCGGGAGACAAATAATAGCAAAAACAATTTGAGCCCTCCAGGGGTTGCCGTCGGAGGTACCGATTGAATGAGGATTTCTTAGGACATCGGGGACGAGGCGTTCGGGGTACAGTGTAGTGTGAAACCGAACCTGTCTGACGTCCAGTAAATGAATGTCGAATTGTCTCTGACAACCACCTCTACCCCTTTCTTTTAACAGGCTGTACAAGTTGCGTGACGCCCAGCACACTGATACAAGATACTGAGAACAAAGACCAAAACAGCACCCACACGTAATATTACCATTTTGTATTGTAACTATTTCATAGTCTTGGTGTTGCTACGTTTTTCATCAAAATAATTTCGTTCGAACCCGTCGAGTCTTCTCACTGATCTACAAGTTCAGTTAAAAAGCTCACTTTTTGCGGTTTTTCCTCAATATTTCGCGTGAAGCATTGTATTGAAGATCTGAAGATTGTTCGTCAGTCGATAATATCAAGTTACCGGCTATATAAATGTAGAAACTGAGAGGAATAAGTTCGCACATAGTCCAAATGAGTATCAGCAGTAGAACTAAGTATATACTGATTGTGACAACTTTAAGTCTCTGGTGATGTGAACAATCACTAGAAAACCAAGCTATGTCCTCAAATATAAAGCAAACCCTGTCGGCATGTTTGCTATCTGATTACAGGTTTTTTGTCATCTAAGATTGGTGAACTCACTTTCATCTTGCATCGACTTTCGTTCGAGCGGATGAATTAGTCGGAATTTCTTTGGGGGACCGAAGGGTGGTCCATAAACTTGTGATGAACTGGAATCACTGATACTGGAATGCACAGTTTGGCCCAAATCATCCGGCTGAAACCCATGCGAATGATTCAGGCTGGCTAACCGAACTTCCGCGTTCTGTCGATCGATGGATTGTGCGACCACACTGGACGCATGACCTGGTCTGTCGAACATGGCCAATTGCTGTTCGATTTGGCGCATCCACTTGTGCGTTTTGGCACAAATCGGATGTTCAGTTCCTGCCCCGTAGAAACAAATGTGTGCACCGAAAAAAAAATTACAGTGAAACAAAATACTATTTATAAAGTGTTATAAGGAAAGTGGCAGTATGGACTAATTACTAAACGGGAAAACGATAAATATCGAAGAATACTTTAAAACTATCTATCGTGGATTAATGATAATAAGCAGTGCATCTTCAATTTCTGCTGAGTCATTAATCACAGAACTTATTATTGGGCTTATGAAATCTTCTGTGACCTTTGCCAATAAAATTCTAAACGACCCCTCCCATCCTTTACATCTTGAATTATCTTCTTGTCGATCTCACTCGATTACTCGTCCCTCTTATTGGTACCTACTCTCTCAAAGAAACATTAATAAAAACTCCACTTTACCGTATCTGGTTCGAATCTTGACCAACAAGGAACGAGTTATAATTGAATTATGTCAATCTTTAATTGAATGAATCAAACTTCAGAGACATTTTTTTACACAGCATTCTATTGGATTTGTCTATACTTCTATATTTTCTAAGGTGTGACGATCAGTGTACAATTTTTAACTGCAATGTAAGCATATCTCAGGTTGCAAAAGTTATACCAATATACATACAAATACAATATTGAACGTCATCCTCCTACAAACTATACTAGAAGAACCATCCAGAAACGATATTAAGGTATGTTTACGTTTGTAATTATTTTTCTGTGAGATGACCTTCCTACAGGAATAAAAGTCACCTACCATTTAGATCGTTCAGAAATTTTGGAAAATGACAATGGAAAAACATGGGATACGTTACTTGTTACTTAAAACCTGCACATCGGAGGATATGAACGTAGAAACTTAGAACTTTGCAAGGAACCAAAAAACACTATGTGGCCAATATAATTCCCGGTAACGATGGACGATGCCGGTCAAAGCGACAATTGGTTGAGGTCGAGTGACGTACCGAGAAGGGCGACACGTTCGTGAAACACTGTAGCTGCATGAGTCAATGCTTCTTTTAGACTCAGATGGCGGCCATCTGCCAGCAGACAGCCTACCAACTGCAATCGGATTTTCGTCGATAGCACATCCGAATCTGTCTCGTTCTCTGTCACACTGGACATGAGAAACAAATTGGGTTTTGTAGTTTGTGGAGTTGTTGACCGTTTGACCGGAGTGAGACAGTCAGTTTTCCTGTTGGTGGTCTTACCCGAAGGCACTCGTGAATAGTATGTCATAGTGCGTGGATGTCTTTGCAATATACTCCTGTGTATGGACGAATCAAACGATTCATTCGATCCTCTTGCAACTACAATTGGCGGACGTCCAAGTGGTCGAACGAGTACTTCACGATCCGGATGGAGAATATCCAAGGCCCAACGCAAACACGATGCAGCGCGGGCTCGACGTGAGGCCAGACGAAGAAAGCTGAACGGTTAAAGTGAAATTATGAAATCGGTTTATATTTTCAGTCTCTTTTTTACCGAAAGGGGGCCTGGTACAATGTAAGTACCGAGCAAATGTTGGAAACTTTCTGTACAATTATTCAATTGTGGTGTGACTGACGTAAGTCTTCTTAGTGAGATGAAAAATAGAACCACAATCAGTGTTTTTGTCTCGAATGTTCGAATTCATCAAGTTTTACGTTTTCTGTCGGACATATCTGTCACTTTTAATTAATTTCCAACTTGTCTGGTTTGCCTTCAAGTCACAGTTACTTGTCAATAGCTGTCTTTGTTATCCAAGTGGATGTGTAGTGACGACGATTTTACGAAGAAAAGGAGAAATCCACGAGGACGTTTTCCGTTCATATTTTCTTCACAATCAACTCTGACTCCAACTGTGAAATTTCTTTCTGATTTACTTCACTGCTTAGTACCCAAAAGAAAACCCACAAATTGCCGCTACTTTGCGGGTCAGACTTTTGAGTCAAAGACTCCGGTTAGGGTTTCCAAAGAAAAATCCATTAGTCCGTTCGGCCTGCCGCGAAGCATGTTGTGCCCTAAAGTCTTAGGCACCGATTAGGAAAAACCTCTTTCGCACCTGTCTTCTTCTTCCCGTCAATCTTGAATAATTTCAGATGCCTCCTGTTTACGCCACCCATCGAATATCAATCAGCGTTTTGCAAGCAAGGCCAGACAATCAGAAGTTATAGGATTTGTAAAGCCAAAATTCCTTTTTTACTTAGCCGCGTTCAATGTCCGCACAATCTATCAGATCGGTCAACCAGCTGCCTTAGCTAGAATCCTTGAAACTTTCAATTCAGATGTATGTTGTGCCTCTGAAACACGCATACAAAACCCTACTTCCATTATATCCCTGCGTTCTTCTGATAAAGCCTCACCCTCACTCTTCTCCCTTCGTGTGTCAGGCGATTCGGCATCCGAAACTAGCGGTGTTGCTGGTGTTGCGCTGAATTCCAAGGCGGAGCGCTCGCTTCTTGACCGGATTCCAGTCAGTAGCTGACTGTGCGCTGTACGTCTCAACGGTTCAGCCCGGGTTAACAGCTACAGAACGAAGCGTCGGTGCTTATTCGTCATATCGATGCATCAACCGATTGCAGTACACCTCAAATCAAGGATGAATTCTACAAGGATCTTTCTGAATTACTTCAAAGTGTTCGATCAACGGACGCCGTAGTATCCACCGAACACTTCAATGCTCAAGTGGGATCCCTGGACGAATCAGAAAGGCTTCTTGGCGGACCGCATGTAATCCCAACCAACCGGACGGACAACGGAGATCGCCTAATTCAACTCTGCGCGGGCCACGGATTGTTCTTGTCAAACACGAACTTCTCACCCAAGAAACGTCACCGTCTTACATGGAAACCGCCAACCTCTTCGATAAGCTGGGCCCAGATCGACCACATCGTCATCAGTTACCCATGGACGGGATCACTTTAAGACTGTCGCTCTTACTGGTCAACAGCTGTGGATACAGACCAAGCATTGTTACGCGCTAAATTCTCCCTAAGCTTGGCAAACAACCGCATAAAACCATCCGACAACAGATACCCACGATACAGCGTCCGCGATGGCTGCAAATCGACCCTCGAAGCGGAGATCTCCGATCGCCTGTTAGTTCAACCATCAGTCGAAGGACTCAATGAACACTGGAATCAAATCACGGAAGCTATGCGAATATCGATAAAAACAACGTCGGACCCTGGCGCAGGTTCAAAACACAAACGACGGACCTCGTCGACCTCGTATGCCCTGCTGGACGCCCGCAGAACCCTACCTCTGGATGCCACATATGACCAAGTTCGCAAATCCCTTAAATGCTAGTTCATCAAGAATCTGAGGAATGACCGCGAGTAGTGGTGAGTAGAAAAGTGTAGAGAGTTGGAGAAGGCTGCGGCTATCGGCAACAGTCGCAATTGTTTCCGTCTAATGAGGAATACAGGCCCTAGGAAAGTAGACACGAGTGAGGTAATTGAAGAATCCAGTGGCACACTGATTCACGATCAGCAACGCCGTCTTGATCGATAGGCTGAACACTTCAAGGCTCAGTTCAACTGGCCCCCATCTACATCTGATCTTTCACCCTTCACCTTGAATGGCCAAATACTGTCAGTCGATGCTAGTCCTCCATCTAAAATAGAGGTTACCCGAGAAATAAGATATCTCAAAAGGTATAAGGCTACCGGCAGCGACGGGCTGTCTCCATCGGCTTTTAAGAATGAAGGTTGAGTCCTGGTTCTGGAGTTATCAAAACTCCTGGGCTCAGTGTGGAAGAGGGAAGAGGTTCTAACTGAACGGTGTGAATCGGTGATCAAACCGATTTACGAGAAGGGCGACAGGCCCTCCTGTGAAAACCACATAAGAATTAGTTTAATCAACATTACGTCTAAACTTCTCGCCGGTATCATACTCCGACGATTATCTGCCGCGTGTGAACGGTGTACGCGTGAGAACCAGGATGGTTTTAGACCCCGGCAAGATTTCATCGACCACATCTTCACTCTCCGCCAAATTCCGGACCATCGAAATTCCTTTCATAGACAAACCACCTCTGTCTTTCTCGATTTGAAAGCGGCTTTCGACTCAGTCTGCCGCTCTAATTTCTGCCGCTGCCTTTCCTTGTTTGATGTGCCCGAAAAGTTCATTTCAACATTATGATAGCTTTATAGTAGGAGCCGAAGTCGAGTTCGGGCTTAAGGAACTCTTTCGCCCGAGTTCACCATAGAAAGTGGTGTTCGTCAGGGTTACCCTCTCTCTCTCCTATTCTATTCAACTTCGCTATACATTTGGTTATAGAAACAGCCCTATCCTCGTGCGAGAAAAATGGTATCGATTTACTTCCAGATGGCAAACTGTCTGATCTAGAGTATGCAGACGTACGATGCCAGCTCGTGACGTTTAACTTTAGAGCCATTCATTCTCCTACTACTTAAATCAATCTAGTAATATTCTCGGTAATTCGACTTTACCTGTCCAGTCGGTTACGTTGCTACCACCAAATATTCTGGTGTGCCTGCATTCAGTCCATCAGTTTTTGGGAATTGATTATAAATGAAAACTCGGCTGAAATGAAATGGAATTTGGAATTAAAATTGATCACTTAGGTCTGGAATTCTATCTTTTCTGGTTTTGCATCCTAAAACACCAGTTTCTGCAGAGCATTCATAAAACATCATTCACGACAATTGATTAACATGGTGATCGTACACCATATTGATAACTTATTTAGAACACCCCACCTGCTCAACCCCCCTTCAAAAAAAGCCT